AGTAGCTACCATATGCAAATCCTAAATAAATCGAAAACATATAAGAAATGATAATAAACATATATTATCCAAAACTAGAAAACAAATGATGATGGAGTTCACACGCGAGTCGTGTGAGTTGCGAATGAGGTGGGAAGCGTGTGTGTTGCACATGAGAAGAGCACGACTAGTTTGTCAGGTCATGCATACATTTCTCGAAGAGTATCCTTTTAAGGTTGTGGGCTGCTCGGGAGTGATTTAGTGCTGGTTGGGCCACACATATTTGACTGCTACTAAATTTGGGATAGGTTTGTTATTTTAATACGTGAAACTCAATCAAATATAAAAGGGCTATTCACCAAATATCTCTCTCTTTCCTTTTAGTTATTTTTTTAAGAAGTTTTCCTTCAGCCCTTTTTTTCTCCGTCTGACTTTTTTCTCTCATTTGCAAGTTAACATGTCACAATCATACTTCTTCAAATGTGTGTCTCGTGATCTTCACACGCTAGCGAAAAACTTTAGAGTACTCAATATCCATTCACATTTTCACTCCGCTTTGTGGCTCTGTCATACTTTAGGCAAGGTTTACTTTCGACATTCAAACATCACTTGTGTAGAATCAAAACTTGTTTTACCATACACGCCATCTATGCATGCATGTTCAATTATGTGTGACACAACACGTTACATCTCATTGTCATCTCAGTTTCCAACAACACGACCCATGCATCGTGATCCAATCTCATGTCTCGAGATAGCTCGACTCTCTTGGTTTTTCTTGAGACATCCGTCGGGACAGTTTCGCTAAGTGGTCTAAGGCCCTAGATTTAGGCTCTGGTCTAAAAGGGCGTGGGTTCAAATCCAACAGCTGTTCGATAAGGACTTTATGACTCTAAAAAGATGGGTAAATTTTTTGGGCTCCATTGTCCGCTCCCGACCTCGATCAGCTCCTTATTTTCTGAAAAAAAATGGAGATAAAGGAATGAGTCAGTTGGGTATTTTGGAATAAGGAAAACTCACTAAACAAAAATATTTTATTTTCAATAAAGCTATTATTGATGTTTATTCAGAAAAAATCGTTATTGAATAAAAAGTGAATTTTACGATCCTAATTTAAATCCAATAAACTAAGAATACTCTTGCTATAGTATGATTAGGAATGAGTTGTTGGGTTTTATGGAATAAGGAATGAGTACAGAGACTAAGTAAACAAAAATATTCTATTTCCAATAAAGTTATTATGAATTTTACTATCCTTAATCTAAATCCAATAAACTAAGAATGCTCTTGCTATAGTTTGATTAGGAATGAGTTCTGTTGGGTTTTACGGAATAAGGAATGAGTACAAAGACTTAGTAAACAAAAATATTCTATTTCCCATAAAGTTATTATTGATGTTTATTCAAAAAAAGAACGTTATTGAATAAAAAGTGAATTTTACGATCATTAATCTAAATCAAATAAACTAAGAATACTCTGACTATAGTATGATTACTTGAACTATATTGATGTTTATTCAGAAAAGATCGTTATTGAATAAAAAGTGAATTTTACGATCATTAATCTAAATCCAATAAACTAAGAATACTCTGGCTATAGTATGATTAGTTGAACTATACGTAGAGACATAATAGTAGATCAAGTTCAAGTATATAGTCAAAATGATCTATAGTACAAGGATAAGACTGAGTACCTTTTTCTTGGGGACACTATGGATGCGGCCCACTTTTTATATGATATAAACAATGTGATCATTATATTGTACATGTAAAAACATGTGAGTGGGGGCGTCCTATGCAATGAGTATTGCATAAGATCGGACCATAAAGAAAATCACTCTCACTTTATAATGTCGTTTACTGTTGAGACTGATTTTTTTCACTTGATGATCTAGGTAGCTCGACCTTAATTTTGAGCTAACTATGAACTCTTGTTTATTCAGAATTATCCTTAGATTTGCATGGGTGAGAGTGGCTCAAGTTCGCCGACTCAATAAGCCTCCAATTTCAAGGGTAAGACTGGGTGAATAGCTCTGGGGACATAGGGTGCAAGATAGAATTCACTCCTACCTGCTTTTAGGGATAGTAGACAGGTTGTTCCCTTAAGTACTGACTTCAGGTCTTGAACAAGGGGCCCCACCCTCTCATTGGCCCGAGAGGGATTCGATTTGGTAGTTGGACCACAAACCAAATGTTCATTAAAGGATTAGTGGGACTTAAGAAACAAGAAGTAACTTTAGGGGTAAAAACGGTAAATTGACCCAGCTCTATTAATGAACAACCTGTGAAGGATCAACTTACTAATCATGGTTATATCAAATAGACAGAAATATATCTATAGTGAGGGGAGTGCAACTACTAGGCTATGGTGGAGTATTCTAATAGTTAACGAATGTTGGTTAAAAGGTTAATGAATTTAGCCGATTAATCTCGGATCATTGGAGCCCATGATTTGTAAGTCCATTAGGTCCCCTTGCTAGCTCATATCGGACTAAACCTTAGAACAGTGTGACGGTTAATCTCGAATCGTTGGAGCCCATGATTTGTAGGTCCATTAGGTCGCCTTGTTAGCTCATATCGGACTAAACCTTAGAACAGTGTGACGAGTGAGTTTGAAGTGTTCGAGCTCAAATTAGAGAATATGTGCTAAATATATATGGTATATTTAACCGCATTTTAATTTAATTACGAATTAAAGAAAATAAGAGAATTGGAGATATTTAAATAAGATTTAAATATTTTAATTATGAATATTATTCATAATCAATATGGTTCAGAATTGACTGAGATTGACATTTTATTTAATGTTAAATATTAATTAAAATTTTTAATTAATCATTTAATATTATTTTGATTTGAAATTAATTATTTAAATTAATTGTTGAATTAAAATAGAGAAAGTCAAAAGGTTGACTTCACTTAAAATTGATTTAACCAAACTTGCATGTTTGTCAAATAAACCCCACAAATTTGAGTGGAATTTTGAGTGTCAAAATTTGGTTAATTCAAAGTTGCATGCTTGCCACATAATCCCATAAATTCGAGTGGAATTTTGAGTGTCAAAATTTGGTTTAACCAAACTTGCATGAACATGCAAATATTACTCTACAAATAGAGTGATCAATGTACATAGAAAGTGTTTTGAAAAACTTTGAGAAATCCTCTCAAAACACTCTCTTTAAATATACTAAATTTCTTTCCAATAGAGTGAAGGTACATGGAAAGTCTTCTTGAAAAACTTTGAGAAATTCTCTCAAATCTCTCTTTTTAAATATACTAAATTCCTTTCAAATTTAGTCACTCACTAGATTCCACGATCTCGTTCTAAAGCCGAAGAATAGTAGGAAAGACACTAATGGTGATTTGAAACCGGTTCATGAGGAAAAATGAATTTAAACTACAAAAGGTTAGTATTCAAACTCATTGAGTTTTAATGCTTTTGAACATGCTAGCCAATTTATTATAATTGATGTACTTAGAGTGCCTAAGATTCAAATTACTTCCCATGTGTTATATAACACCATCAGCCTACTTGTAGGCTCTTAATCGTGTCCTTGATATGCTAGGGTACCACAATTTTTGTTTTCTTGTTCTTGTTCTTCTCATAAGTTCTTGTTATATTTCTTAATTCGTTCCCCAAGACACTCTCGTTTAGATTTATGGTACTAGACATAAACTTGTCAACCTATGTCCAAGGCTTCATACTTTCCAAGTGATACAGTGTCAATACCTACGCTCAAGGTTTCTTGCGTTCCAAGTAGCGTAGTCTAAGTCATAAACATGACGTATCGTGGAAGGTCTTAGGAGGTTCTTAATTCATGGCTAGGGTAACTTACTCTCATCTTGCTCCATCGTGGCCATAGGTTCTCCCCATAATAGACCATAAAGGTCACATGGTTGATACATGCATGAACATGGCATAGACCATAAAGGTCACTTGATCGATGCATGCATGAACATAACATAGATCATAAAGGTCGCATAATCTAACATAGACCATATAGGTCGCGTGATCGGTGCATACATGAACATGGCATCCTGCCAAACATAACATGGCGCAGGACATCTCATTTAGGTGAGGGGGATGAGGCCAAACATGACATCCTGCAAAGAAAACATGGTGCAGGGCATCCCACCTAGAAGAGGAAAAAAGCCTCCTTAGAAAGCACCGCGTAGTGGGAGTTATGGGCCACAATTGGACATCCTTAGAGTATTGCGTAGCATTCTTGAATTTTCATGTCTAAGGACTTTGGTCCCTCATCTTTGATTGTACCTAGCATTCTTCTTATCTTGGTAGTTGTAAAGCTTGTTTGGTAATTGTTCTTGGCTCTTAATCGTGTAAGTTTCTAAGGTTCTTATTTTCTTGAAGCATAACTTGTAACATGCATTCGTAATCATATGAACCCATCTTAGCGTGAATTTTTCTAGAAGATTCCTAGGGCATAGATTCCTAGGGAGTTCTTTAAAGGGTTCTAGAAGAGTCTTGAATCTTGACATGTTTTCTTTAGGCGTTTCCTTAAGTTCCATATTAGCTTATGCTCCAAACTTGCTCCAACCAACTTGAAATCTTGATCTTATCCTCGTGTCATATAAAATAGACCTTATAGGACATGGTTGATAATTTAGAGTATACTTAGACCTTGAGATAGGATATGACTTCTTGTTTCGTTTTAGGAACTAACCCTTAGAGGTTGTCATATCATACATCGTGTTTTGGTCCTAAAAACTCTTCCAAAGTAACATTTAGTTTTCTCCTCATGAGTGCATAAGTGACATTATCATAGTTGTGGCATCTTGCTGGCATATCGTGTTCCAGGGCATCTCATTTAGGTGAGAAAAATAATAAGTCCATCTTGACAACCTGCTCATGGTATATATAGTACGAATTATTTCTTCAATTAAATAAAAGAAAATACTAAATAATAGTACGAATTATCTTATCCCATTCCGAAGGATACTAAATAATAGTACGAATACTAAATAAGTCATTGTACTTGCTGTTTTATTTTCCAATTATTTTTTTTCCAATTATTTCTTCAATTAAATAAAAGAAAATACTAAATAATAGTACGAATTATCTTATCCCATTCGGAAGGATATCATCTCATAATTATCTATGACTGTTTCTGTCTCTAGCACGACCACTTGATGAAATGGGGAGGGAAGTGGGACAAATGGCCGAGACTACTGGAAGGATTCCTCTTTGGATAATAGGTACTGTAACTGGTATTCCTGTGATCGGTTTAGTCGGTATTTTCTTTTATGGTTCATATTATGGATTAGGTTCATCTCTGTAATAATCGGATGAACTGAGTTGTAGACATGAAAGCATAAGAACTCAGCAGGATCCCCCTCGAATCAGAAAAAAAGAGGGGGTAGGTCCCGTTGAGCTCTTACTAATTAGAATAATTTATTCATATAAATGACAAGTGGATCTTTTCGATGTTTCACAAAACTTATTTCTTTCTGATTCTGAATTGCTTCAAAAAATTGATTCAGACCATCTCTTTCGCGATAGTATCGGTCGATACTTTCAAAGCGAAAAAAAGAAAGAAAGAGAGAATCACTCGATTCCCTCTTTCTGGATGACACAATCCCAATATAACAATAATATATTTCTATCGATTAGATATCACAAACCCTTTAATATAGTAAAATATATTAATAGAATTTTCTCTAGTTATTTTAATATAAAATAGAATTTATAAATTCATTGAATTTGTTCACTACTTATGTAATAAATCAAAAAACGGTTCTGATAAACCGGGAAAAATTGAAACCAAGAATAGGGATCTTTGACGAACGGATCAAGAATTATTAATTATTTGATTATTTCGACACAAGAACAAGAAAAGAAATTTTTCTGGTATCAAAGACTAGGAAGATGAATAATCCCCTCTAGAATCCTTTGTTCCCTTCATTTTTTTTTCTATTCTCCATTTACTTATCTTATTTTTAATATCTAATCAAATTTCATTCTATTAGAATAAAAATGGATACATTCAATGACATTTCAATCTGGCACCAGTGACATAATAATACGGCTCCTATTTGCATTGTAAAAAACAAAGAAATAAAGAAGAGGTAAAATAGTCTTCCTCACAATATCCGCTCCTATTTGCATTGTAAAAAACAAAGAAATAAAGAAGAGGTAAAATAGTCTTCCTCACAATATCCATACTATGACTAGTAATGCGGTACAAGTCATTCCCGAAATACGGTAGAAAAATAATATAAGCAAAAACAAGGAAAAAGTTTTTCATAATTTTGTGATCATACATAATTAAATTAGAGAATTGCCAAAGGGCATCTCACCTAAAGAGGGATAGGGATCTCGTGGTACAATTTGTGATGGGACATAACGGTTACTCGGGGCATGGATCCTAACAACTTGTTAAGCATACCATCTACATTAACCTAGGTGTTTCCTTGTATTATTGGAGATCTTAGGTTTATGCATAACGTCTTGGGTCAAGCTTGGAATTTAAAAGTTCTTCTTATAAATAGCCCGACGTGACCTTGTGCACTTAGAATCTTATTAGTAGCCAAGAGTACTTGTGGAGAATCTTGATGGTGTTAATATAACACATGCGGAAGCAATTTGGATCTTAGGCACTCCAAGTACATCAATTATAGTGAATTAGCTAGCATGTTCAAAAGCATTAAAACTCAATGAGTTTGAATACTAACCTTTTGTCGCTCAAGTTTCTTTTTCCTCACGAGCTGGTTTCGAACCACCACTAGTGTCTTCTCCACTATTCTCCGGTCTTAGAACGAAATTGTGAAATTCGGTGAGTGACTAAACTTGGGAGGGACTTAGTATATATGAAGAGAGTTTGTGAGAGGTTTTTCTCAAGGTTTTTTCCAAAAAAGCCAACTTTCCATGTACCATGATCACTCTACTTATAGAGTCATGTTTGCATGTTCATGCAAATTTGAGATCACCAAATTTTGACACTTAAAATTCAACTCAAATGTTCGGGATTATGTGACAAACATGCATGCTTTTGTTAACTAAATTTTGACACTCAAAATTCCACTAAAATTTGTGGGGTTTATTTGGCAAGCATGCAAGTTTGGTTAAACCAAATTTTGACCCCTCAAAATTCCACTAACATGTATTTTTTCATTAAATGAAGTCAACATTTTGACTTTCTTCATTTTGATTCAACAATCCATCTGAATTATTAATTTTAAATTAAAGTAAAATTAAATGTTTAATTAAACTATTTAATTAATATTTAATATTAATTCAAATGCCAATCCCAATTAATTCGGACACATATTTGATTAAGATATTTAAATCTTATTTAAATATCTCAAATTCTCTCTTTTTGTTTAATTCGTAAATAAAACAAAAATGCGGTTAAATATATCGTATATATGTAGCGCATTCTCCCTAATTTGAATTCGAACACTTCGAACTCACTCGTCACGCTATTCTATGGTTTAGTCCGATATGAGCTAGCAGAGGGACCTAATGGACCTATAGATCATGGGCTCCAATGATCCGAGATTAATTGGCTAAATTCATTAACCTTTTAACCAACATTCGTTAACTATTAGAATACTCCACCATAGCCTAGTAGTTGCACTCCCCTCACTATAGATATATTTCTGTCCATTTGATATAACCATGATTAGTAAGTCGATCCTTCACAGGTTGTTCATAACTAGAGCTGGGTCAATTTACCGTTTTACCCATGAAGTTACTTCTTGTTTCTTATGTCTCACCGATCCTCTAATGAACAATTGGTTTGTGGTCCAGCCAGTAAATCGAATCTCTCTCAGGCCAATGAGAGGGTGGGGCCATGTTGTTTAAGACCTGGAGTCAGTACTTAAGGGAACTACCTCTCTTCTATCCCTAAAAGTGGGTAGGAGTGAATTCCATCTTGCACCCCACGTCCCCAGCCATTTACCCAGTCTTACACCTGAAATGGGAGGCCTATTGAGTCGGCGAACTTGAGCCATTCTCATCTATGCAAATCTAAGGATAATTTCAAATAAACAAGAGTTCATGGTTAGCTCAGGATTAAGATCGAGTTACCTAGGTCATCGAATAAAAAGAAAATTAGTCTCAACAGTAAACAACATTATAAATTGAGAGTGATTTTCTTCATGGTCTGATTTTATGCAATACTCATTGCATAGAACGTCCCCACTCACATTTCTCCACATGTACAATTTAGTGATCACATTGTTTATATCATATACAAAAAGTGGGCCGTATCCATAGTGCCCCTAGAATAAGGTACTCAGCCTTATCCTTATATTATAGATCATTTTGACTATATACTTGAACTTGATCAACTCTTATGTCTCTACATATAGTTCAAGTAATCATACTATAGCTAGAGTGTTCTTAGTTTATTGGATTTGGATTAATGATCGTAAAGTTAACTTTATTCAATAACAATTTTTACTGAATAAACCATAATAATAACTTTATTGAAAATAGAATATGTTTTTGTTTACAAATTATGAGTTTTAGGACATAAAACCCAACATTCTCTACTATTCTCCGGCCTTAGAGCTTGATTGTGGTATCCGGTGAGTGACTAAACTTGGGAGAGATTTAGTATATATGAAGAGAGAGTTTGTGAGAGGTTTTTCTCAAGGTTTTATCCAAAAAAGGCAACCTTCCATGTACCATGATCACTCTATTTATAGAGAGTCATGTTTTCATGTTCATGCAAATTTGAGATCACCAAATTTTGACACTCAAAATTCCACTCAAATGTTTGGGATTATGTGGCAAGTATGCATGCTTGAGTTAACCAAATTTTGACACACAAAATTCCACTCAAATTTGTGGGGTTTATTTGACAAGCATGCAAGTTTGGTTAAACCAAATTTTGGCACCTCAAAATTTCACTACCATGTATTTTTCCATTAAATGAAGTCAACATTTTGACTTTTTCCTTTTGTTTCAACAATCAATTTGAATTATTAATTTCAAATTAAACTAATATTAAATAATTTAATTAATTATTTAATATTAATTCAAATGCCAATCCCAATTAATTCCGACACATATTTGATTAAGATATTTAAATCTTATTTAAATATCTTAGATTCTCTCTTTTTGTTTAATTCGTAAATAAAACAAAAATGTTGTTAAATATATCGTATATATGTAGTGCATTCTCCCTAATTTTAATTCGAACACTTCGAACTCACTCGTTACACTATTCTATGGTTTAGTCCGATATGAGCTAGTAGAGGGACCTAATGGACCTATAGATCATGAGCTTCAACGATCCAAGATTAACCGGTTAAACTCATTAACCTTGTTAACCAACATTCGTTAACTAGTAGGACATTTCACTATAGCCTAGTAGTTGCACTACCCTCACTATAGATATATTTCTGTCCATTTGATATAACCATGATTAGTAAATCGATCCTTCACATGTTGTTCGTAACTAGAGCTGGGTCAATTTACCGTTTTACCCCTGAAGTTACTTCTTGTTTCTTATGTCTCACTTATCCTCTAATGAACAATTGGTTTGTGGTCCAGCCAGTAAACCAAATCCCTCTCAGGCCAATGAGAGGGTGGGGCCACGTTGTTTAAGACCTGGAGTCTGTACTTAAGGGAACTACCTCTCTTCTATCCCTAAAAGTGGGTAGGAGTGAATTCCATCTTGCACCCCATGTCCCCAGCCATTTACCCAGTCTTACCCCTGAAATGGGAGGCCTATTGAGTTGACGAATTTGAGCTATTCTCACCCATGCAAATCTAAGGATAATTCCGAATAAACAGAAGTTCATGGTTAGCTTAGGATTAAGATCGAATGAAAAGAAAATCAGTCTCAACAGTAAACGACATTATAAAGTGAGAGTGATTTTCTTCATGGTTCGATCTTATGCAATACTCATTGCATAGAACGCCCCCACTCACATGTCTCTACATGTACAATTTTAGTGATCATATTGTTTATATCATATACAAAAGTGGGCCGCATCCATAGTGTCCCCAGAATAAGGTACTAAGCCTTATCCTTATACTATAGATCATTTTGACTGTATACTTGAACTTGATCAACTCTTATGTCTCTACATATAGTTCAAGTAATCATACTATAGTTAGAGTGTTCTTAATTTATTGGATTTAGATTAATGATCGTAAAATTCACTTTATTCAATAACAATCTTTACCGAATAAATAATAATAATAACTTTATTGAAAATAGAATATATTTTTGTTTACAAACTATGAGTTTTAGGACATAAAACCCAACAAATCTCTTATTTCATGGGTAGCTCGTTAGTCATCCTAGAAGGTAAAGTCATGTGGATCGTGATGTACGTTTTTCCCCACATCTTGGTTTCGTTATCTAACATTTCCCAATGACTCCCAAACTCAATAAGCTTATACAATGTCCTGAGATAAAGGACTCATACAAAATTTCATTAGGTTGGGAGGTCATTTAGTGCTTAACCCATAGGTAGTCTTCCTTAGGGGCATTATGGTCATTTTACCCTTAATTCTTGGTTTTTCTACTTAACGAATTGTAATGGCTTTTAAACTTCACCACCTCATCAATCATCATAAAATAAGATCTATTGTAGAGTTTCATAGCATTTGGAAGTCATCTAGATCATGAACGGTAGGTAGATATCCTTAAGGGCATTATAGTCATTTTACCCTGTTTCTTGGTTTACCTATTTATTCTTATCCATTGACCACTCAATTTCACATATAACCAAAAAAATGCTATTATATGCTCATCATTAAAATTTCATAAGCATCCGGGCTCATTTAATGGGTTATTTTAACGTTCCTCAAATCTCAAGCAATTTGGTCAATTCAAGGTCTTAACTTACGTTTCTTTGAGTTTTTCTTTCATATATCCTTGTGTCATACTAAACCAAGTATTTGGTAAGAAAAGTTCAAGGTGGCTATTTACTTCATCGTCGATGTTCGAGACCTCCATTCTTGAGCTTCTAGTATCCGAATTACTTCACATTTCCTTCCATAGACTCCTTATTGTCCCTAGTTTCTGGAACCATAAGGATTGTCATGAGAACCGGACTGGAAGGGGTTAAAATTGAGAAGTACTGAGGGAAGGTCGAATTTTTGGCTTACTTGGCCGATTCAACTGAACTGGCCACGTCATCGTCTTCTTCCTCTGAACAGGAAGAAGATGCACACGTCCTTTGCGCCACCGTCTGGAAGGGCCCTTCCACAACTCCGATATCTTCTTTTCTCCCCT